ATAAAATTGTGACAGCATATCTTCGTTCTAATTCCACATACCTCTTCCTTCCTCTATGCCACCAAAAATACTAATAATACTTACCATTTACATAGCACTTCAAGGTTGGTAAAAACAGTTTACAAATATCTTATAACCGCCCCAGGAGGTGGGTGGAATTATCCTCCCCATTTTACAGATGAAGACGTGAAAGCAGGCAAAGGTTGATTTGCCCAGGGTTATTCAAGCTACTACAAGGCTAAGGCCCCATATGAATTAAGGTCCTCTTGATTTCAGATCTAGCACTCTATCCACTATGCCACCAACCTGTATGGAGCATTAGAAACAGTCTGTTAATGTAGATGCCTAAACCTCCCTAAATATTAACTAACAATACCCTGTCTGAGTCCTGCAGCAGACAGCTGTTATATGACCATAAAACTGAGGAGACACTCTTGGCTCTTATCTTCAAACACCAGCACAGTTCTAGTGGACCCCAAGATCATCACCAAGTAATGAGCCTGAGCTACAGAATCATCAGAGATCCACTTCCTATATAAGCTTCCCCCAAAAGCCCAATTCATTAAGTTGTTCCTGCTTGCCACAGCCCAAACCTGTACTCCTAAATACAATCATGCAAGGATGAGGAGCAGAGTGAACCAGTTATCTTTCTTCCAGACTAAATATGAATGCCGAGGCATATCCCACAAAACACTATCCTCTTGTATACAAATGAAATCTGGTTCCTAGTTCAATAAAATTTAAAATTTATTAAGCACCTACCAGATGTAAAGTACAGAATCAAGAGCTAGGTGGCTCTATTTTCACAGACTAGCCCTTCAAATACTAGCTCTTTTCCAGAATAAATATCCTTAGTCCCTTCAAAAGGCCTCTATGGCATGAGCTCCAGCCAGTTCACAATTCTGGTCACCTGCCTGCAATTCCTGCTACTTGGTGACTGTGGGGATATCACTTCCCCACCTAGATCTCAGTTATCTTCTCCGTAAAAAAGGGAGCCACTTTAGCTCCTCCAGATCCATGGTGCTGTGTTTCACAGCCCCTCTCCCCATGAGATGAAAACATATGCAGATTGTAAGATAAAGAATTTGTGTGAAACTGACACTATCTTGAATGCTCAGGTACCTTACGTAGTGGTACCAGGGAGAGAGCTGGGTTTGTAGTTAGAGGTGCTGAGTTCAAACCCTGGAGCCCCAACTTCTCACCTGTGTAACCACAGGCAGCCTCCTGATTGATCTCTCTGAGTCTTAGGTGCATCATGTACAGAATAAGAGGGTAAACTAGATGCCTCCTCATGGTCCTTTCCAGTCTTCAATCTATGCACTTATGTTTACCATAAGAAGTTTGGGCAATAGCGGCTATTTTAATTGTCTCCCAAGCCCCTCAGCACATGACTTCTATGAGCCATGCATCCCCCACCCCAGGGGTACATGCACACTCACCTCACGATCCCAACTTTCCAAGCGCAGTTTCTTCCATTTCTCTCTTTTGGCAAAGTAATCAGGGTACATCGCCTTCTCAGAGGGATGCCAGTAGTCTAAGCACCACTCAGGGACCTGTCAGAAGAGGACGCCTGTCACAGGCACTGGGTAATGAACAGTGCAAGGGTAAGGGTAAGGGCAGAGGTGGCTCCCTGGAGGCCTCTGAGGAAAGGCAAGGGGAGTGCCACTGTCAGTATGTTATAGCACAAACTCCTTTTAGATAGGGGTTGGACTGGAAGGCTGCCGAGGTCCCTTTCAATTCTAAAATTCCATGATTCTCTGACACTGGTGGTAGGATAGTATCCTGCATTTCTTATTATCAACTCAGTACCATTGGTAAGACTGCATCCATTCCACAGAAACAGGAAACATAAGACCAAAGACAAATGGGAATGTCTAAGTGTATGGCCACTAGACGCAAGAGCTAGAAAATAGCCTTAAGTCAAGTAGAACAAATACCACTCCATCTCCTTCCTTCTATTCTCCAAAACTCTTAAATTTGGTAATAAGACCTTATAAATATTAATAACTCCCTTTGCTAGTAACTCAAGAGAGTAGAGCCAAATAAATTAACTTCAGAAGCCTAGCAATGAATTATTAACCTAATGGGCTTTTTCACTTAGTGACAAAGAAAAAACAAATCTCTTTTCTATAGGACCACAGAACCTAGTTGAAGAAGAAAGTCTAAATAGAAATGTTAATAAAAACTTAAAAATTGAGAAAACATATGGAACTATAGTTATCCTCATGATGGTTTTGATATATCATGGGTCAGCATAAGAAATTAAATGGGAATATTGGGGAGTTTTGTGGAAGCTTCAGATGACATGTGAAGGTCAGCAGATGACACAAAAAGTTTAGAAACTCAGAAATGCATAAAATATATGTATGGTATTATATACCATCAACCCATATTTTACAATAAGGTACTTTAAACATCCCCCCCCAAAAAGTCAGACGACTTCTCTAGTACAAAAGGACGCCAAAAAATTTTACTCAAAAGTTTCTAAATTGCAGGGGTGCTGTGCCACTAACCCATGATGTGGAAAGGATAACTGTATTTTTGTTTTCCGGATGAGGAAGATAAGAGGGGAATTAAATTTCTTTAAGAAAATCCATATAAAACAAATACTTCCTACTTCTGAAATCTAATTAGGGAGTAGAGGGAGAGGAGTTAGACAGGGTTTCTGACCTACCTTATAACACTCATATCTTTCATAGGAAGTGCCTCCCGGGGAATCAGGGAAGATATATGGCTGAGGATGCTGGCAAGCCCAAAATTCTTCTTCACCCTGCATAAGCAGTTTGGTGGCTTTTACCATGTCTTTTTCATTCTTATGCTCTTCAAACCGAGCTCTCAGCAAACAAGCTTGGAACCGATATTCATCCCTGAGAAGTATAAAGAACACAGTACCAACTATTTCCCATGAAGAAAAGGGAAATTGGGGAAAAAAATCTTTGAGCAAGTTTCTCTGAAAAATGTATAATATCCAAAAACTATCTGGAACAGATTCAAGTATAAAAGAACAAAAGTTATTCCCTGATAAATAGTCAAAGAATATGAACCAGCAGTTCTCAAAGAAAGAAATCCAAGCTATCAACAGACATGAAAAAATGTTCCAAATACTATTAAAAAAATGCAAATCAAAATAACTCTGGAGTTCTAACTCATCAACTTGCCAAAGATAAAACAAAGGAAGAAAAGGATAATTGTTGAAGGGGCTGTGGGAGAACAAGGCACACTAGTGCACTGTTGGTGGAACTGTGAATTGGTTCAGCCATCCTGGAATGATGTAGTATACGCAATGCAGTATCCAGCAATAGCACTTGTGATCCACATACCAGAGATTAAGAGAGAATAGATGTTTATGTACAAAAGTACTTAAAGCAGCCTTTTCTGTGGTAGCAAATAACTGCAAAGGTACCCATCAATTGGGCAACAGCCAAACTGGTATATAAATAAAATGGAATGTTACTGCATCTTAAAAAATGACAAAAGGGGTAGTTTCAGAGAAACATGGGAAGACTTTTATGAACCTAGGCAGTGAAATGAGAATCAGGACAACATCTTATACAGTAATAATAAGGTTAAGAAAATCACCTTTGAAAGACTGAGGAAGTCTGATCAATGCAAAGCCCAACCTGCACTCCAGAAGACTGATGAGAAAACATTTTATTTAACTCCTGACAGAGGGTGACAGACTCAATGATGAAGAATAAACTAGGCATCTGTGGTCATAGCCAATGTGTGGGCTTCTTTTGCCTGACACACTTACGTGTTAAAGAGATTATCTTTTTTTTTTAACTGGGGGAGTACTGACAGTATAAATTGGGGGGGGGATTAACATATGGGAAGCCTGAGACTTCATTTCTTTGAATGCCCCGTCCTTTACCTCCTTCCCAAGACCCCGTTGTCTTGGAAGGCCTATTCTCTAGGTCCCAGTTCAGGTCTGTTAAATACAGGGCAGGAGTTCTGAACTTTTGGGTGCCTTGGTGAAACCGACGAACCCTTTCTCAGAATAATATTTTTAAAAAGATGAATACTCTGGACAGCTAGGCGGCGCTGTGGATAGAGCTCCGGCCTTGGAGTCAGGAGGACATAAGTTCAAATTCAACCTCACACCAAACACTTGACACTAGCTGTGTGACCCTGGGCAAGTCACAACCCCAATTGCCTTAAAAAAAAACAACCATGAATACGCATAGAATTACAAAGGAAACCATAGATCAGCAAAAATAAACATGTACTTTTGTTTTCCCTGTCCAAGTTCACAGACCGCCTGAAAGCTATCCCTGCACCCCAGCTAAGAACTCGCAGCAAAGGGGAAGGGCTAACAGGGGAAGGTGGGTGTGGAGAGGGGATGGGAGTGAGGAGATGGGGGCGGGGAGGACAGAGGTCCGTCAGTCAGCAAGCCCTTCTCTGGGTCACAAGGGGCTTGTCCTCCCCCACGCTTGGTCCTCCTGGGCAGTAAGTCACGGACCGCAGCTGGCGGCCAGGGGGCCTGACCTGGGGATGCCGAGGCCGCCTCCCTGCCGTTCCACTCCTCCCCCCGGTACACTCCCCACCTGTAGACTATCCAGGACTCGAGGTGGCGGAGCGCCCGTTTGTAGAGCCGCAGCACCTTCTGCTGGTGGGTCAGATAGGCGCCCGGGGCGCAGAACGCCATCGCTCTCCGCTTCACCTTCAGCCCAGCCGGCGGCCGCAGGGGTTTTCGGGAAACCGGAAGGCCCCGGCCCCTGACCCCTGTCTCCGTTGCTCCTTTCTTCCCATGCCCCTCACTTCCCGCCCCATCTCGGCTACTTCCGTTTCCGTCTAGGCAGAATTGAGGTTGCCGTCATGACTCGCTTCCCGTTCATCGGTAAGAGGGGTCCCTTTGCCCTCTTCGGGCCAGCCCGTGGCTCCGCATGCCGCTGTCCGAGCCCTTCCCTCTGGCCTCAGTTCACAAGGAACGCACGCTTCTCCCCGTCCTCTCACGTAGGCGGGGCGTGGGAGGCGGGGTGAGAAAGGGAGAACAGCCGGGAGAGGGTGAACTTTGAACTCTGACCCGGGGTCATCCCTGGCTGCCTGTGCCTTCCCTCTGAGACTGCCTACCTGCTGTTGTTGCCGAGTCGTTTCAGCCGTGTCCGACTTTCCGTGACCGCATTTGGGCTTTTCTTGACAAATTAATGGAATGGCTTGCTATTTCCTTCTGCTGTTCATTTTACAGATGAGGAAACTTGAGGCAGACAGGGTCACATGCCTTCCCCAGGGTCACTCAGCCTTTCTGACCCCGGGCCTGGCGCTCTATGCACTGCGCCGCCGCTAGGCCCGCCTTCCTGCTGTTTTGTATGTGCCTCGTCTGCACGGGGCCGTTTGGCGTGTTGTCTTTAGACTGTGAGCTCCAGGAGGGCAGGTACTGGCTGTTGCCCTTGCTCGATTCCCCAGAAATTAGCTTGGAGCGGAGTGGGGGTGCCCGTGCAATGATTGCCTTCCCTTGGTCCCGCAGTAGAGAGGAGTTCAGCGTGTGATGGGAGAGGACGGCGCCAGTGAAAGGCCGCAAACCCTCGGGCGTAAGTCATGACAACCGCAGGGTCGAGGGAAGGTTTAGTTCGCCCTCAAGAACGTTAAATATAGAACAATTAAAGGGACACCGCTAATGCGCTGTGGCTTGTGATGAGCACGTTAGCCAGATAAAAAGCCTTGTGAAGTGCTTTGATGGAAAGCCTTGCAGGCCGTAGGCCAAAAACCGGAGCGCTTTACATTTTACTAGGATCCTATCGTGTCCTAGGTGCTGAGGGAGATAAGAAAGAGGCCAGCCTTACCTGCACCGGGTCACCAACGTAATTTAAACCCTAATCACTTCTCACTTGAAGTTTTTCTAATTGCCCCCTCATGGGTCTTCCTGCTTCCAGTTTTCTCCTTCCTGTACGTCTTCCATATAGCTGCTAGAGTAATTGTTCTAAGGCAGAGTAAGCATCACACCATATCACTCCCCTGCTCAAAAAACACAGTGACCCCCATTGCCTCTAGAACAAAATACAAACTTCAAAGAGCCCTCCATTCATACTTTGATATTTTGAACAATTATTCAATGCTAATATTCTGTTACCATTGAATAACGTTCCAGAATTATTTGACATTCCCTTTCACAATGTTGAGTCAAACTGGCCAGCTAGCAGTTTCTTAAATTTATCATTTCATTCCACCTCCATGCATCTGCAGATGTGCTTCACATCTGGAATTCTGAGAGCACAGCTCTATTAGTTTTCATATCTCCAAATCCTTTTCTCTTTCTTAATTCAGTTCAGGTATTACCTCTTCTTTGGCATCTGCCCCCAACTCAAGTTTTTTCCCCTTGCAAAATTACTTTGTAGTTAATTTATGTATATATTTCCCTTTCTGTAAGTTCTCTGAGGGCAGGGACTGTTTTGTTTTGGCCTTTGTCTCCCACTGAACCTTGTATCTAGAACAATTATAACAAATAGTTGTTGAATGAATGCTTTTAGCAACTTGGTTTTGAAGGTCATGGATCTGGCCAGTGAATGGATGATATTGTCAGATTCCTGGCATCCTGACTTCATGACTCCAGTGCTCTTAAATATAATCCAAGAAGAAATACATACATTTGTCTCATTCTCCAAAACTCCCAAAGAGGCTTAAAAGGTTATTTTTGGAATTTTTGATCATTCTATTCTAGGAATTTATATTCCTTTAACATTATCAACATATAGGAGACTATCATAGTCTCATTTCTCTGAAGAGAGTATTATGATACTTACAAAACATTAGATATCTTAAAATCCATGTATAATGGTAAAGGACATCAAAGAAAGAGGGCATCAAAAGCATGAAGTCTATCAAAAGTACATCTGTTACCATTGAATAATTGCTTAAAATATTAAGTAATTTAATGTGAACTTTGTATTTAGATTCAAAACTGAGCTCGTTCCCCAGATTACCTGTAGTTTCCTCCCACTTACCATTATTTCACTATAGTATTACCTGATGGTAACTTTAAAATTGGAGCGTATCCTGGTGTTTCCCATAGAGGAAGAATATTCCCCGGGTAAAGAACATCTAATTTAGCCTTACTGGACCTCAGTTTTCTCACATGCATAAAGAGGAGATTGTCTTAGATTTCAGCTCTGAATCCTATGATTTGTAAAGGAACTATGCACTCTTTGGCTCTTGTCACTTCTCACCAATAACTTGCAAGCTGTCCAGGGATGCAGCTTTACCTGGTGACCAGCTACAGAACAACCAGAGTCACCAACAACTTCTTCATATGTCTCTTCTATTCACAGGCAATCATAGAATTTAAAGGTGGAAAGGGTCTTAAAGATCTTCTAGTCTAGGGCTTCTTAACTTTTTTTGGCTTATGGATTCCTTTGGTAGCCTGTTGAAACCCATAGACCCCTTCTCAGAATATTGTTTTAAAGTGGATAAAAATAAAATACATGGGATTACAAAGCAAATCACTTACATTGAAATAAAAATGTAATTTTTATTTATCATCCAAGTTCCCGAAATCTATCCACAGGTTGACCGACTCTAAATCCAATGCTCTTTCATCTTCAACATTTGGAGTTCACCCCTTTTCCTTATTTTTTAGTTATAATTTAGTTAATTCCATCTCAGGCAGTGCTTTTCATCCAAGCACATCCTCTTTAGTCCTCTTCTAGTTTTTGCCAAATAAGTTACCTCAGCCAAATCTCTGTCCCTTACTGTTTGTTAACCAAAAAATATTCAAATTATGGCTGCTAAATATAAGAACTGTGTTCATGATAGTACTTGCATCAAGGAGAGCTATAAGTTTTAAATCAGATTTAATGAAAAATCTGTGCTAAATGCCTTTCTCACATATTTTCTCATTTGATTATTACAGTAACCCTACAAAGTAGGTGCTGTTATTATCCCTATTTTACAGCTAAGGAAAAGTTAAGTGACTTGCCCTGGGCCAGATTTGAGCTTATGTTTTCATGACTCCAGGCCCAGCTCTATCTATTGCATCACTAACTGCCTCTATTATAACATAGATTTTATGGGAGAATACAGTTCAAGTTTCAGAAAGAACTATGGAACACAACTTGCTTACAAGGTGGGCACTTCCTATATTAATTTTATTTATTTTCAGGAGGTAGAACCAAGATGACAGAGGAGCAAAAGTAGTACAGAAAGTTTTCCCCCCTCCCCCAACTCCTCCAAACAGACCTAGAAAATGCAACAGACTAAATCCTGACTGAGAAATCCCAAGAAAAAGTCACAAGTCATTTTTCCAGCCTGGGTCAGCATCGAGAGACAGACAGAAATCTGCTGGAGACTAGATCTAGCTAGAAGCATGCCTTGCAAAGAGCACACCATCACAGAAGGAGAGGTACATCAGGGCAAGGCCTAGACCCATATCAGGGCACATGGATGAAAGGTACCAACTGAAAGCTTTGTTGCATACTACTTCAGTTCCAGGTTATAATCTTGGCCAACTGAGAAGAGATGTGTGTTCAAGGGTGGCATTCCAGGGTAGGGAATGGTGTAAGGCCCTGAGCAGTATACTGAGAAGGAGCACATTCAGAAGCAATCAGCAGAAATGTGACTCGGACCTCAGGAACAGAGCTGGTTCTCAGTTCCAGCTTGTAGTCTAGATGGAAGCCTGCAGAGGAATAATCAGTGAAGGAATCTTAGACCTAAGGGAAGCTTGCAGTTCTGTCACTGAACCAGCAGAGCTTTCTAGCTGGCTGATGATGGCAAAACTCGGCAGCAGTGTACTATTGCTCAGACCAAACCTCAGGTCAGTAGCTTGAAGAGGTAAGACCAGAGGGGCAGCAGTCAGACTTTTCCCTGGATCAAACCACTTTGGTGGTCTGAAAGCTTGTAGGTCCCCAGCCTGAATTATTCCTGAGATCCTGGAATAACAACTCTCCAAGAAAGCAAAGGCAGGACAAGCCCAGACCTTCCCTCCAAAAGTACCCATCTGTCTGAATTCAGGTAGTAAACTAGAAGATGAGCAAGCAAACAAAAAGAATCCACCATAAAAAGCTATTATGGTGACAGGGACTCCCAAGATGCAAACCTAGAAGTGAATGATTCCAAAACATGTACAAACAAGGCCTCAAAACACAGACAGACAAACACACAGCTTAATAAAAATTCACCTAGAATTCCTGGAAGAGATGAAGCAAGAGTTTTTTTAAAAACTGAAGACAATGTTTTCTCTTAAATGACAGCACTAGAAGGAACAATGGAAAAGAAATGAGAGTCATGGGAGAAAGTATTGGAAAGGGAATTAATAGCTTGGCATAACAGGCACAAAGCTTTGCCCAAGAAACAAACTCCCTGAAAATTAAGACAGACCAAACAGAAGTCAATGAGTTCATGAAACAAGAAATATTAAACCAAAGTAACAAAATGGAAAATAGAAGAAAATGTAAGATAATTCATAACCAAAAAACAACCGACCTGGAAAACAGATTGAGGAGAAAAAAAATTAAGAATCATTAGGTTGCCTCAGCATGTTCAAAAAAGAGATAGGCATATTTCAAAAGAAAACTACCCAGATCTCTTAGAACAAGGGGGCAAAGTGGAAGTGGAATCCATCAGTCACTTTTTGAAATAAACCCCTACATTAAACTCCCAGGAATATTATAGCTAAAATCTAGAGCTTCCAGGTAAAAGGAAAAAAAAATACTTAAAAGCAACAGGAGAAAAAAAAAGGCAAATAGGAATCAGTCAGGATTGCAAATTATTTCACAGCCACCAGTATAAAAAATAGAGCAGAGAGCTTGGAATAAAATATTCAGGAAGGCAAAAGTTATAGGCTAACAGCCAAGAATAAATTACCCAGCAAAACTAAGTATGATAACAGAAAAAAGGGGACCTTTAATGAAATAGAGGACTTTTAAGCATTCCTGATGAAAAGACAAGAGCTGTGTAGAAGATTTTAAATTCAAACATGAGAGTTAGGAGAAACATAAGCTAAGCACAAGCTATCAAGAAGGGACTAAACAAGGATAAATTGCTTACCTTCAAATATGGGGTGATGATGCATGTGTTCCCTCTTAATGCTGTCATCATCAGAAGTCATAGAAGGAGTCTAATTAGATAAGGCCTAGGAATTGTTCTATTGCAATCTGATGACAAGAGAAGAATGGTAAAAAAAGGGAAGAAAAATACGCTGGGGGTGTAAGAAAGGGAAAAGAAGGTTAGGAGAAGTTATCTCACATAATCGGGGTTTGTAGACATTCAAACAGACAAGAAGAGGGATTGGGGTGGGGAGCAGCTGACATTTGAACCTCTCCTTTGAACTGGTCAAAAGAAGGAAGAATACACACAAAAGTTGGATATATAAATACATTTCACTTGATAGGAAAATAAGAAGAGGGAGAATTAGGACAGTAGATAGGGGAAGAATTAGTCCCAAGCAAAACAAACTCAAAGGACATACAAAAATACTTGAGTTCTTTTTGAGATGGCAAAGAATGGGAATCTGAGGGGGGTGCCCATAACTTGGGGAATGGTTGAATAAGTTATGGTACATAAATGTGATGGAGTATTATTGTGTAGTAAGAAACGATGA